CTGGGAACATCCATTTGACTACAATCATATTGCAAAGAAAAATCAAGTTCTTATATGTGTATTGATCTTCTCTATCCATCAGATTTTTTTTTTTTAATAAAACCAGGGTTTAAAGCTAGATGCATGCCCTAAAGTTTTGGTTATTGACAATATTTCAGCAATTCTAATTTCATAAAATTTTGCTGGAGGACACACCAGCAGGGATTCCTAATACTTCAGTATTTTTGAGTCTTTAGTTCATAAATGAATGTATCTATGTACATATATATACCTTTTATTGAGAGAAAATAAGAATTTATTTGAAGGAAATCATATAACTATATTTTAGTAGTATATACTTTTCAAGTTAAATACTGCAAAATAATTATGAATGAACACTTCATTAAAAATCTGTTAATATACCAGGAGTATAAAATTTGTACTCTGTGGTAATAAACTACCCCCCAAGTCTCAGTAGCTTACAAAAGGGATAAAATTATATACTCTAGTAATAATCTACTCCCAAATCTCAGCGACTTACGATTCTAAATGTTTATTTCTCACTCAGGCTACGTGTCCATTGTAGGTCAGCTGTGGCTCAGGTCGGGTGCCTTTACCCTGACAGACAAGTCATGGAGGACTAGCCTCTGAGCGTGACTGGGTCTCTCCACAGAAGGACCAGAGAGAGACGGTGAACGTGCGTCGACATTAGAGCTTCTGCTTGGTAGTGGCACGTTACACGTTCCATTAGCCAAAACAAACTACTGAGCCAAACTTGAGTTTAGTGGGTCAGGGATGTATAATTCTCTTTGAGAAAGGAGAACTCAGGTCACATGACCAAGCTAAAAGCCAGTGAAGTGAAAACTATAATTATCTGACAGGAAGAAGATGAGAAATATTGAGAAGACTACTACGTCCCATTATCTGTTAATAACTATCAATATAATGACTGTGAAGATGAAATGAGGCACAAATATTTCAAAGGTTAAGTTTTTATTTACAATGTTAATTTATACTCCTTAAAAGGATAAAAAGGGTGAATGTTAACTAAACTTACTGTGGTAGTCATCTGCTGTGTACATGTGTCAAATCATTGTGTTGTACGCCTTAAATATAGACGATGTTGTAAGTCAATTATATATCAATAAAACTGGAAAAAATGATAAAAGAGTTAAGGATGGCATTAGCTAAGATGTTTAGGTCCACAGCAAAAGAGAGCTGAATGAATAGTGTAGAAATAACAATTAAAGCTATTATGATAAACTTCAGTATCTATTGTATGAGGCAAGCCCATCTCTGAAACATATGTAAGTAAATAATGTATTATAGATTTACATAATTTTACCAATATAAAAGTTTATATATATTTTTCACTGGGGACGAAGATTTACTAAAGGTGAGTGTAAGTCTAGAATGATCTCACTCAAATGATGATCGGGTAATTCATTGGCAATAAAGATGAATATTTTTTATCCTGGTGGCTCAACTTTCCTAGTAGCTCAGCTGGTAAAGAATCTGCCTGCAATGTGGGAGAGCTGGGTTCGATTCCTGGGTTGGGAAGATTCCATGGAAAAGGGAACGGCTACACACTCCAGTATTCTGGTCTGGAGAATTTCATGGACTGGCAAAGAGTAGGACACAGCTGAGCGACTTTGACTTTTCAAGATAAATATATTACAACTGAGGCTCCCCAGGTGGCACAGTGGTAAAGAATCTGCCTGCCGATGCAGCAGATGCAAGAGATTTGGGCTCAATCCTTGGGTTGGGAAGATCCCCTGGAGTAGAAAATGGGCACCCACTCCAGTATTTTTGCCTGGAAAATTCCATGGACAGAGGAGCCTAGTGGCTTGAGTCCAGGGAGTCGCAAACAGCTGGACATGAGTGAGTGACTGAGCTCACACACACACACACACACACACACACACACACACACATACATTACTACCACATATGTTTCTAATATAATTCATAAGTAAGCTGGAACTTTATGCTTGTTAAACACATAGGTATAGCAGGAAGCATTAACTGTAGGACCAAGGTTTGAGTTTCAGTTTTGCAAACAAATGAGTCTGTGCTTTCTTTAGTTCCCTACAAACTTCAGTTTCCTCTTTACAAAATAAAGGCAGTGGGTTATTTGATCCCTAAAGTCTAAATTCCAGTCCTAAAATTTGATAATCAGAGTTTTCAATTATGTATATATGGAGAGTGAGTCATTCACTTACGATTTGAAAAGACAATCTTCAACCAAATTGTTGGAATAAATGGCTGGGGTCTGGGTTCTTCTGACTTAGCAGGAAAAAGCATCAGTTCGGTCAGTTCAGTCACTCAGTTGGGTTCTACTCTTTGCAACCCCGAGGATTGCAGCACTCCAGGCTTCCCTGTCCATCACCAAATCCCGGAGTTTACTCAAACTCATGTCCATTGATTGGTGATGCCATCAAACCATCTCATCCTCTATTATCCCCCTCTTTCCCAGCATCAGGGTCTTTTCCAATGAGTCAGTTCTTTGCCATCAGGTGGCCAAAGTATTGGAGTTTCAGCTTCAGCATCAGTCCTTCCAATGAACACCCAGGACTGATCTCCTTTAGGACGGACTGGTTGGATCTCCTTGCAGTCCAAGGGACTCTCAAGAGTCTTCTCCAACACCACAGTTCAAAAGCATCA